CCCTTGGTCGCGACAGGCTTCCAGGAGGCCCGTCGCTGCCAAGGGAAGTGTCCCCGTGCGCACCCTCCACCGACGCGCGTGACCCCCCCGTACGTGTGGCCGCCACCACGCCATGCACAGCAGCGGCATGTGCGGGTTCCAAATAATAAACTTACATATATTCTTATTGTACTCTACTTGGATGGAGGTTGTTTAACTGCTGCATGTTCCCATGACCTCAAACCTAGAAACATGAAATTGGAAAGCATATGGGGCAGGTATATTTTTTTCTGTTATTTTACTCTGAAATTTTGTTGGAATTCATAATGCTTTTCCTGCACTTTTTACTTGTTTTTCAACTAAATTGAAAGCATGGAATTCTGGCATGTGCAGTGCACTGATATCCATTTTAAGAACAAAAGGTTTGGGGGGAGAGTTATTTTTTGGACTAAAACTCCTAGAATTTACTAGCCAGCAGGTCTCCTAAGAGAATTGTTGAAGTGTGCCAGGAATGGTCACTTCCTGTCTTCAGAACATGGAAAAACACTCTGAACAGTATTTCTCATGTCTCCATCTTACTTCACTGAATTCAATGGAACTAAAGTGTGTCTAACTTCTTTTGGATCCCCTATCCATTTAAGGTTGCTCTTTAGGTATTTAGTTTTACATTCATAGGACTAGGACAGTCCTATACCTAAATGAGCAGTCTTCACATTTGGACTGTAATAAGTGTGATCATCCATTCGATCTTGGCTTAATTTCAAAAGCTATCTGCAAGTAAATTCAAGATCTCTTGTAGATCATCTTCCCCACCACCTCCACCACATTAGAGCAATGGGCTGGCAGGGAGAGAAATGGGCAACCATTTCTAGGTTTGGCACCACTCATCACTGGATATTAACAACCTAGGATGCATAGACAACACTACTGCTAGCAGAAACAAACAAAGACCTGGAGCAATTATTGAAGAAGGTCAAGGAGGAAAGTGCCAAGGTAGGCTTCATGCTGAACATAAAGAAAACAAAAATAACAACCACAAAATATATACAAGATTTCATCATAATACAAAATTAAAATACTCAAAGTGTTCCTGTACTTTGGATCAAATACCTTTGAGAATGGAGACAGTAGTCAGGAATTCAGAAAAAGACTAGGATTGGAAAGGCCAGTTGTGAAAGAACTGGACAAGATCATAAAGTGTAAAGACATAACTCTGAACACTAAAATGAGGATCATCCAAGCCATTATATTCCCTAACACCATGTACCATTATGATCTACAATGAAAAAAACTGATAGAGAGAAAATCAGCTCATTTGAGATGTGCTGGGATAGTGTACTGAGTCTACTGTGGATGGCCAAGAAGACCAACAAATGGGTTCTAGAACAGATCAAACCGGAACTCTCAGTGGAAGCCAGGATGACTAAATTGAGGTGTCATACTTTGGCCACATCATGAGAATAAATGAATAATTAGAAAATATGGTTGTTAGGAAAGATGGAAGGCAGTAGAAAGAGGGAAGACTGCCTGCCAGATGGTTAGACTTGATCAGGCAGTCCCTGGGCCTAAGCCTGCAGGACCTAAGCAGAGCGGTTGAGTACAGAGGGTCTTGGAGATGTCTCATTCACTGGGTCACTACGAGTTGCGGCTGACTTGAGGGCAGTTAACAACAGCCGCTGGCTATAAGATTGATGGATTGTCACATGCAAAAATACTGTTCCATCTCACCTAAACAGAACCTTTGAGAAGTTGCTGTTTAGAACACAATTCCCAGTATTTCCACGGCCATGCTGGAGATTTAACTTTCCCCAAAGTTCTGCACTCAAACTGAATTAAACAAATCTTCATCTTCCAAGCTGTAATATATTCTTTGCCATGAACAAGTGGCATTTAATAAAAATGCCCTAATAGAGTTAACCCCTTCTGTAAATCTTGTTAAATGCCTCAGCCTTACTGTATATACTAAATTCCACAATCAGACAGTCTTCCGTATACAGGCCTTTCTCTTTTAATTGCCACATCTATCCAGGCTGCAGTAATTAGATTTCTGAATACTACACAGAATTACATTGTCAGTCTGTCTCAGGAGATGTCCTAGATGTCCAAGACGTATTATAAGAGAGAGAAAGTAACATAAGAAATAAGACACACAGCCTGGACTCTAAAGATCCTCTGAGTATTCATATCCAGCACTATAGTTATTACTGGGTTACTTAGTTCCTTACCAAAAAAACCTAATTTTGAGAAACGAAGGAGTGATGAATTGCAAATTAAAGCCGTTAACAACAACAGATAAATTGCACAGGTAGTTTAGATGTTGCCAATGAGAACTGGTCAGTCTGGTTAGTCATTGTTAGCTCTTTACATAGGATCTAATGAGAAAAAATAAGGAAAGCACACGTAGTTTACATGGTGGCAGTGTGTGGGAGGAGGAGAGATGTGTTTATTCTCATAGCTAGAAGGCTCAAGACAAGTAGATGTGAACAAAAGGCAAATGGAGAATGCCAGTCTTGGCTTGGCCCAATGAAGCCATTTAGAATGAAACAATACAGAGCTGTGAGCCATGTCCCCTAACATGATTTCCATCTGTAAATCAAGTGGTGCTCATTTGAAGTATTGCCTGTGAAAATCACAATGGGTTTGTTTTTCTGTGGATTCTCATAAGCAAGGGACTGCTGCCACCAGTACTACATGACAACTCTGGCTTCCCCCCTCTCCTTTCTTTTGCTCCCAACATCTTTTTCTTCCCTCTTTCATCCCTTTGCTCTCTCAAAAGAATAAAGCTAACATGAAGGAAGGTACAGAGAGGTGGTGAACTGTGCTGGTGCACCACAGCGTTGCCAGATTTTAATGAATGTTTGCACCGGGGCCAAAAGGAGCTGGCAAGATTCACAGAGGTGGCCATGAGACCTGAAAGCTGACAGGTTATGAAAGCATGAAAAAAGGGAGAAAGCAAAAGTTTCTGTCTGCCTAGGCGGCTTTTGATTTCTATTGCTGTAAAGCTATGGCAGAAGCTCTCAACAGGAGGGGAATTCTAAGAGACAGGTACATCTGTGCTTGGAAAACTGTCCGGTAATTTAGGTTTCCTCTGGCTTCAGTCTTTGTAAAGGAAACAAAAATATTTAAATATATAAAAAAGTCAAAGCCAAGCCTGTTAGGGTCTAGCTTTAAATCAGCAGTATAGGAGAAATGTGCCTTTTCTAACTATGCTTCCCTAAGAACTGAGACTGACTCAAAAACAACACAAGTAGCTTGTAGTTTAAACAAAAGTTTACTAACGGCTTTAATCTATATATACATAAAGGTTATATTTTAATCTAGCTAATGAATAATTCAGGTAAAAAGAAATCTTTATCTTGCCATCTTTCCAAAGAAGGTTGAGAGAGGAGGAAGATGAAAAACCAACCGTTCAGTAGAAAATCATTTGAGAGAATGTCGAAACAAATAACCGATGGATCTGGGCCTCTCCAGTGCAGCTGACAGTATTTATTTATTTAAAAATATTTGTAGCTCCATGTAGCCATGGCAGTTAAAGTGGAATCCTAATGCTTTACTTAGATGGTATGAAAAAGCCCCATATTATTAAAAGCCAACAAAACAAAAAACTTAACACTAAAACTGGTCTTTGGGAACCAAATGCCTCATTGGAACAGTATGTCTTGGCCACCTGACAGAAGCTGAGTAAGGATGGAGAGAGACTGGTTCTCCTTTGGAGATAACTAAGGTGCTGCTACCAAGAAGGCCCTTGCCAATCTAGCCACTTGGGATGTTTGGACTTTTCACAGGCCTCTCCATTGAGGACATCAAATACCAAGCAGGCTGGTAAGTTGTTGTTGTTGTTGTTGTGTGCTTTCATGTTCTTTCCCAACTTATGGTGACCCATGAGATTTTCTTGACAAATTTCTTCAGAGGGAGTTTGCCATTGTCATTCTCTGAGGCTGAGAGAGTGTGAGTTGCCCAAGGTCACCCAGTGGGTTTCATGGCCCAGTGGGGATTCGAACCCTAGTCTTCAGAGTCATAGTCCAACATTCAAGCCACTGAGACAGTCTCTCAGCTGTCCTCATCCCATGAGGGTTTTTCAGTTGAAAACAACCAAGAATTTTGTGACACCTAAAAGATTAACCACTTTTATTCAGTATAAGCTTTTGTGGACTCCAGCCCATTTCACTAGGCTGGCGCAAGACTCTGTTATTGTTTTGGTTCATCAGCCTAACAGTTATATTCCTGGTATATTTCCATTGAGGATAATTGGTTTTAAAGGCATTATCTTTTACTTGGCATATTTGAAATGGCTAGATTGGGTTGGGGCATTTCTGGGATACTATTTTATTCTTTAGGATAGAAAGGGCAGTGATGATTTGTTGGATCCAGGGCAGAGGATGATCATAGAATCATAGTGTTGGAAGAGACCACAAGGGCCATGATGGCTATCCAGCCTCTGTTTAAAAACCTCCAAAGAAGGAGACTCCACGACTCTCCGAAGGAGTGTGTTCCACTGTTGAACAGCTCTTACTGTCAGGAAGTTCTTCCTAATGTTTAGGTGGAATCTCTTTTCCTGTAGCTTGCATCCTTTTCCTTATGATTTCCATTTTGGTGGCCAAGCTATATTGAACTTTGTTGTTGCTGTTGTTGTTTTTAACATGTTAGGGGTAGGCTTGTCTTATTTTCCCCCTTTCTCTCTGTTTTGCTGTTCACAGATGCTCAGCAAGGGATTCTGGATACAGCTACAATAGAATCAACTACAGCAGAATCCCATTCTTTCCTAGTTCAAGCTTTATTGCATTATTTATTGCAGACACACTGCTTATTTATTGCTTATTTATTGCAGACACACTGCTGCAACATGACATTGAAAGCTTGGGATTTCTTTTGTTTTGTTTTTTTGCGAACCTCTCACCATCTTCCTCATGCCAATGCTGCTAAAAAATTAAGCCAGATAGAAGACAAGAAAGAAAAAGTTGGCTGCGCACACATAAAAAGTCTTTGTAAAAAGGATTTTTTCAGGGGCTTTGTTAATAACTGAGGCATGCCTGCATATTTATTATACATCACCCTGATATTTTCCAATGAAGGGCAATTTCTAAATATCCTGAGAATAAAATAGAAAGTCCAATGATGGGTGGGACAAACTGTCTCCATTTCAGAATTGCCTTTCCTGTACCAAAGTAGTAGTTTCCACATTAAAGTGCTGTAGTTCCTTGGTTAGGTCACATACCAGTGGTACACCCCATTTTGAACAACTGCAGTGTTATAAACTAATACAGTTTTAGTATTTTTCTATTACTACCACATTTGGAGTTCCCAGACTCTTAAATTAGGGTAAAATCATGTTAATTCTTTGTATATCACACATGTGTGTTATTGTCATTGAAGCTCCATGAATTCTCTCTTAAATACAGGGGGTTGGTAAGGCGATAAAGGATAGCTGTGAAACTGAGTATATTTTTGAGATTTCAGATGGATAACTACACTTTCCCAGGAATTTTTGCAACCCACATCTTATAGTAAGTGTTGAGGATTGCAACTACTTTGACATTTTGCAAGAAAATGAAATATTTTTAGGTGTCGTGCTTTTTAAAGGAACACCTTAAGAACACAACAGCAGGATTCAAACCAGAAGGCCAGTGAAAATATACCCAAAGTTTGTCACCTGCCATATCCCAAGACTTATTTAGATAATCTCACCTCTTTGGGGCAATAATGCTTACTCCACTGTTACTCCTTAAGAACTTCAAGTAAGAGTGAAATGTGATTATTTTAAAGAATGTGTATGTGCACCTTCAAGTCACCTATTGACTTAGTGTGACACTATGAATTTCATAGGATTTTGTTAGGCAGCGAATATTCAAAGGTGATTTGCTGATGTCTTCCTCTAAAATGTAGCCTATAGCCATGTTGGCAAACCTATGGCACATGTTTCCTGGCACGCAGAGCAGGAAAAGGAGGAAAAAGTGTGCACCTATTCCTTTTCCTCCCAGCCATCCCAAGCCTTCAGCTGCATCCGGAGACGCCTACTGGGTGGAGCTTCTGGGAGCTGAGTTCTAAAAATCTGGGCCAGTAATGTCCCATTCCCAAGATGAAGTTGACCTCTTCAAATCTCACATGAGAAATGGCCAGATGTTAGTAAGAGGCCACATACTTTTCATGCAAAAGCTCTCAGGTTCAGTTCCTATCACCTCTGTTTTGATCCGCTAGCCCATAACTTGGAAAACATGGGCCCAAGCCTCTGGAGAGAAGCTTCAAGTCAAGGGTAGATATGATTGGACTGAGCAGAAGACAGTCTAAGATCATTGAATTGGAAGAGACTTCAAGGGCCATCAAGTCTAACATCCTGCCATGCAGGAATACACAATCAAAGCGCCCCTAACAGAAGGCCATCCAGCCTCCATTTAAAAGCTTCCAATGAAGGAGACTCCACCACACTCCAAGGCAGCATATTCCACTGTCAAATAGCTCTTACTGTCAAGATATTTTTCCTAATGTTGGGGTGGAATCTCTTTTCCTGTAACTTGAATCCCTTGCTTCGGGTACTATTCAGTGTAACAGCAGAAAACAAACTGGCTCCATCCTCAATATGATATCCTTTCAAATACTGAAACAATGCTATCATATCACCTCTTAACCTTTTCTTCTCCATGCTAAACGTACCCAGTTCCCTAAACCTATCTTCCTAGGGCATGGTTTCCAAATCTGTCACCATTTTGGTCACTCTCTTCTGGACACGTTCCAGCTTGTCAACATCCTTTTTGAACTGTGGTGCCTGGAACTGGACACAGTGTTCCAGATGAGGTCTGACCAAAGTCTGATGTGATATTAAGAAGAACATCTTGATGGTAAGAGCTGTTTGACAGTGGAATGTGCTGCCTCAGAGTGTGATAGAGTCTCTTTCCCTGGAGGTTTTTAAACAGAGGCTGGATGGCCATCCGTTGGGAGTTCTTTAAGTATTCCAGCATGGCAGGGGGTTGGATTGGATAGCCCTGGTGGTTTCTTCCAACTCTATAATTCTATGGTTCTAAGACTATTTTCTGTGTACTTCTGTGATTAATTCACTAGTTGGTCTCTACCAAATAATCTCTCAGCTTCCTCATATGCAGTATAGTCCATTAGATGATGGCATTAGTGTCCCATAGTAACAGGAGGTCCATTACAGCCAGGCTGGTGGACATCTTTATCAGTCTTTGCACATTTTCTACAGAAGGTGGTGATGGTTGCCAGCCGCTTAAAGGAAAGTCAAGAAGCATCTGTTGATCAGGTTCAAGTCCCTTGCATGAGCCTTGGCAGTTCTTTGGATTCCTGCAGTGCTGTCCAGTCTTAAATCAATCTTATGATCATATGGTTGAGAGGGATGGGAATTTGCCAGTAATCTGTAATAAGGGAGGAGTGAGATAAAAATAACTCCTACTTAATTGAGTGGTGACATTGGTAGAGTGACTGAGCTATCAAGGAAGTTTTGAGAAGGGGAGCAACGTCCAACTGCAGCTGTGTATGTTTGCCAGATTCAAAAGCAAGTCAAGTGATGATGTGGGCTGAGAATTGATTCATACTATATATTGGGGCAAAGTATCAGAGAATTTCCAAAAAGAACTCATGGGTATGTTTCAGTGAATGTTAAATACAGGCATAACTCTATTAATAAAAGCTTTGCCAAAGAAATTCCTTTTTACAAAGCCTTTTAATACCAACCCAGCACTTTCCTCTTTGTCTACTTAGACTTGTTTAGTAGCATTGACGACAGAAGGATAGTAAAGTAGGTTTAGATAAACACAGATTTAATGGTGTCAGGTTGCAGCAGTCTGTCTGCAATAATCAATGTCAGTAGCATCACTAGCTAGGGCAGTGATGGCAACCCTTTTAGAGACCGAGTGTCTAGACAGCAACCCCAAACCCATTTATTTATCAAAAAGTTCCGCATCCCTCTGGCTTTCTGGTAACGAACTCTGATGAACTCTGTGCTGGGGTGACGGGGGGAGTGCTCACAGAGAGGGCTCTGAGTGCCACCTCTGGCACATGTGCCATAGGTTCACCACCTGGTGCAGAGGATGTCACCCAGGAAGGGTGTGCATTCACCTCTCCTGCTCCAGAGGGGGAGGAGGTCCCAACCGAGTGTCACCAGGTGTGGTCTGCACCCACCCAGTGATGCCACTGAACAGTGCAATAAAATGTAAGCTGGAAAAGAATGGCTGATCCTGTGTTTTCCTACAAAAGGCAAGGTAAATAGCAGCTGCCTCCAAAATCCCTAACTGAGTTTGCATAAAGAGCAAAACACAGAAAAGGGGGGAAAGTAGATTGGCTTGCCTCAAAAGCTATCCCCAACATGTTAAAAAATAAGCATAGTTCTGTAAGCTTGGCCACCAAAAGGGAAATCAGAAGAGTGGAGGTTGATAAAGGGGAAAAATCCCTAGATGGAAGGGAAGAACAACCACACACGGCAACCACACGCCATGGCCCTGATCCTCCTTTTTGCCAAAAGAGTGGCAAAATGCTGCTCTTTTGGGGGGTGGCAAAAAGCCACTCTTAGAGCTGCAGCGGCGTGGCTCTTATGTGCCCTTTTGGCACAGTGTTTTTGGTGCACAGCATCAGGGTGGAGTCGGGGCAGCCAGTGTGCGGCTGCCCTGCCCCAACTCCACCCCCAGGCCAGCCTATAGTGCCAGTCTGCATCGGCCCTAGGAATGGGGAGGGTGACTATGAAAGAACTAGAAAAAAATTCAAAATGCAAAGATATACAACTCTATTCTAACAAAAGGTAGAATAATACAAGTCATTGTATTCCCTATTACCATGTATGGATGTGACAGCTGGACAGTTAAGAAAGATGATAGGAAGAAAATCAATTCATTTGAGATGTGATGCTGGAGAAGAGTGCAGAGGATCCAACGGACAGCCAAAAGAACAAACATGTCGGTCCTAGAGCAGATCAAAACGGAAACCTCTCTGGAAGCCAAGTTGATCAAACTGAGACTGTCATACTTAGGACACATCATGAGAAGAGGGGGACTCTTTGGAAAAAAACAATAACGCTGGGGAAGGTGGAGAGAAGGAGGAAG